AGTCCAGCTGTTCATACACACTATTTCAAGCATCCTCGACTGATAAGAAGTGATAGTAAGATGGCCACTTCTGTCATGACCTTCAGTGTCTCCAATCATGCGGTTACGGAGTTTTTTGGACCCCAGTCCGGAAGACGAGAGACACCTACTCTACCTAATAGCTCTGTGCATTTCTCCATGCCCGGTCTTCACGTCATCTGCTGGCCTCCACGTGGCTTTCTCCAGTCTGAAACAGCCACTGTGAATAAGGTGCACTGCAGTAGGTGACAGCCGGACATACACAAAACATGTCCTATCCAACGGAGCCTATCGAGCTGGATTCGATGTGATAACGAGTTCTTGTTCGATGCATTCCCAAACACCCGGTGACTTAATTCTAAGTTACTGACCCGCTCCCACTTGGGCCAGACTACGCAACCATCCATTGTCGAAAACTACTAGGTGACGTGTCTTCTATACGCAAATTCAAGGTCTCACAAGCATAAAGCAGAACTGAACATAGAGTGGTGCAGTAAGTGCTACTTTTCAACTTCAGTGAAACGTTCCGTCATCGCCACAAATGCTGCTTGAGCCTTGGAAATGCGGGCGGCTATCTCCTTTGATGCGCTGCTGTCGTTGGTTATGCAGCTACCAAAGTACGAAGAGCAGTCAATTTCGGCCAATTTATGAACATCGGGTTTTAGAACGGAAATCAACGACACCCAGTCTTACAGTATCACTTTACAATTGAAGGCGCAAAGTACATGCCGAACGGAGCAACAGAACTCGATAGCCTTTCAAGTGTGCGTTGTGTATCCTCCATACATTCGAACAGGCAAACAATGACGTCAGCGTACTCAAGTTCACGCAGCTTATCTCAATAACAAAATTTTGGAGACCACTTAGTGCGTTCTCCAGTATTTCGTCTATGTCAAAATTGAACAGGAATGGCGAAAGAGGGCACCATTAACGANNNGAACGATATACTCTGCTCGCCGTACACCCTTACGCTACCAGGAGTAGAGTAACTGTATTATGTTCGCATACTTCTGCGACATCCCTTTGCGAATAAGCGAACCCACGAGGGATTCGCGGTGAACTGAGCCGAGGGCTCCTTCTAGGTCAAGGAACACGACCACTGTTGATCGACGGTGCATATGGCATAGTTCGAGGACTTGACGCAGAGTAAAGATTTGGTCGAAACAGCCGCGAACTAGTGGAAATCGTGCTTGTTGTTCGCAGATATTTGTCTCCCTTTGTGGTGTCAGACGTCGCAGTATGACGAAGGTGACGATGGGTATCAAACTTATTGCACAGTATTTTGCGAAGTCGTTGCGAGAGCCAGCCCTAAATATCGGAACGATCAGTCATTCACTCCAGGATGGCGGAATGAGATCTTGTGACCAGATGCCACTCATTAAATCAGTAATGGAGTCTACGAGGTCATCGCTCCCATCTTGAAAAGAGTGAAAGGAGGCCCGTCAGTTCCCGCTGTTTTTCCTTTCTTCAGGGCTTGGATACACCATCGAACTTCTGCTTTATTAGGAGATTTAAACGATATTGCCCACGGAGCCTCAACCACATCAGACGAGCTAGTCTGTTTAGCGTCTGGCCAGTTGAACTGTTCTTTGAAGTACTCCACTCACCGGTCAAGCCATTGTCCCCTAGTGTGATTAGTTTGTGCACCTTTGTCACAGATTGTTTCACTAACTGGGATTCTTAGACCTCCCGTGTTGCGTATCAGTTGGAACAGTCTTTGACTATTCTCTCATGCAGCTGCTACTTCCATTTCGCAGCTATTATTGCCCACCATTCTTGCTTGGGGCCCATTATGAGCTAACGTTGCAGATGCCACCTACCCCTGCTTTTATAAGTGCTACTGACTCATCAGAAATCCAATGCCTCTGAATGACTTGAAGCTCAGATTCGCAAACAACCCTCGTTGCGCAATGCATTGCTCACCTTATCTGATCCGATTGTTCATCCACACTAACAAGCTGCAACGCGGTTATATCTTGCCGTAGTTCTAATTCGAAGTAGTCACAAACGCCTGGGTCAGATAAGCGACGATCTGTCAGTCCAGTTTCATCGATTTTTCTGCTACCAGTGAGTTGAAGAGTGAACTGTACCAAAACTAATGCGCGATCAGGTTCAACGCAGTTCTGTGCTGAGCCACAATAACGGTAGCTTACTGCTCCGTGTTATATTTGAGTTCGCGTACCGGCTGAATTGGAGCGCCACTTTGCTGTCCGTTGAGAGTCGCGTCGGCTCAACCTGATGAGTTCGGTGAGTTTATCGTGGAACTGGTCGTTTTGTACTTCAGAACTGCAGTTGGTCCGTGCATACGCTGAAATGATGAACAAACACCTTTTGATGTTGCTTACCTTCCGGACGCTGATGGACCCTTGATGCCTCATCGCACATAAGCGACTGTTGACGAGGATTCAGTTGGTAAGTGATACTTCGGCTATATTATTGAGTACAATGCCTATGCCACGCTGGCCTACTGAACGGGCTTTGTCGTCACCAGAAGTGCGCAGGAAGTACCTCGAAGACAAATCCGGCGCACTTAAGTGGTCCACAGTCCTGGGATCTTGGATTAGAATCTACGATACGCGGTGGACATCAATCCCCAAAGAGTCAATTGTGCTCGCCAGACAAGCTTGTTGATCCACCTACACCAGTCCCTAATTTGAAGACCCCAGGTTCAGTGATTGACGAAACCTTAGAATTGTCAATGCATTTAGTGGTATACTGCTTATTTATCCCGCTACTTAACAAGGAACTTTGGCCAGTGATTAAATAGGTTGCCTGGAATGTTGCGGGTAGGAAAAAGATCTAAAGGAAGAAGGTTGGGTACGGAAAACAAAGATTGATATATATATATATATATATATATATATATATATATATATATATATATATATC